TTGTAGTGAGATTCTAATCAGATCATGCGGGTGAACAGTAACTTGTAAACCATAAAGTACTGAACAAGTGCCAGTTATTTTTGTTTTTGTTTTACCAGAGACTCTAGATGTCTTCCTAAAGAATAATGGTCTATGCTAGTGCCCTCGGCTTGCTCAAGAGCCATGAAGATCGCTCATGACTTTAGACATCACAGGATCCAAAAAATTTAGTCAGCACCTGACCAGCACTTAATCAGGATATAACTGACAAAGTTGGTAATCCAAGCCCCATTTAGTTCCTCGCTGAGCCCTTTGTTCTCAGATGCGTGTCCTTGACCTATCTCCTGTACCTGTGCCCAACTCTTCTGGCTCTGACCACAGCTTCATCTCTTCTTCTTGGAGTCCCACCTTGGGAAAAGCCTCTCCCAAATCAACCCGGCCCCTGGGGCCTCTGGGACCCCACCACTATACCACACCCTCAGACACTTTCTACTTTGTGAGCAAAGCCTGACAAATACTACTTAAACTATTCCTAGCCAGTTCCTAGTGATGGTTTGTAGCCATCCTAAACAATGTCTGAAGGATTTGAAGGATTTGTGGATTTTGCTTTGTGTGTGTGTGTGTTTTATGTTAATGGCATCCGAGCATTTCTAAATCTAATTATTATAAATTTGAAAAGAGAAAATAACAATTGCACATGAGCCTTTGGGAGTCTGGTTGGCTTAGCAGGGGCTGCAAGCCACAGTTTGTTTGTAAACTCTCTCCCTACAGTGCCATTTCAAGGTCAACATCACACTCATATCCAGATAAAGAAAGAAAGAGATGTTGACAACAATAAAGAATAGAGATTCCATGTCCTGTTGAGAAAGGCATGGATTTCCAGGATGGGAAAATCAGGTCAAGTCAGCATCATTTTTACAAAAACAATGAAGTCACTATTCTTTGGGGTGGGGGAAACTAACTTACACACAGCAGTGCAGGCTCTATACTTAGCAACTTTTCATTTGTGTTTTCCAGAAAATTAACTTATTCCCAAAAACTGCTAAAAGAAGAGAGGGAGGAAAGACAAGCAGATGCAGAGAGAAATTAACACAGATATATAGAAAGAGAACAGGCTGTGGGTTGAGATGAATAAGGAAAACATAAGAATTACATTGGGCTTTTAAGATAGGTAGGAGAACTGTATTTTGGCAAAGGGGGAAAGTCCAGTCAGAAAAGGGCAATGATGTTTATGATTAAAGGCTCAGAGGCAAGATCAAACTTGCAAACAGTAAGTGGAGGGGTCCAATTAAGGTAACCCTGTTCAGGTAGGGATATATAGGCTCAAAAGGGGAAAAGGAAAGAACAGAATTAAGGCTAGACTGAAACTTAATATCCATGTTACAGAAGATTGTGCAATGAGGTAATGGTGAGCCACCGAAGATTTCCGAACTAAGAAATGATACCATAAAAAGGCTGTTTTAAGAAGACCATTTGGCAGTAAATACTCTCAACTCCTATTATGATTCTCACCTCTCTGACAATAACCCCCAAATCTAATTAAATAGTTTTTGAATCTTTACCTGCTCTACATCTTTATTTAGATGCCCTGCCAACACGCCAGACAAACTCAGTTCTCTCTCTCTCTACACACACACACATATATATATATATAAACTCATCATCTTGCTCCCAAAATCATTTCCCATAATTCCCTAACATTCCCATGCCTCAGCCTTCCTTACCTTCTCTTTCTTTCTTTCTTTTTTTTTCCTTCTTTTTTTACCTTCCATCCTCAACACAGGCAATCATCAAGTCCAACTGAATTCTCCTTTACAGAGTCTTGAGAATCTATCTGTTAGGCTATATCCACCAACAATCTCCTATTTCGGGCTCTTGTTACGCAGTGTATAGTAGAGCAATAGTCTCCTAAATGGCATGCCTTTTGCCAGTCTTTTAGATGTCCAACTCACACTGCAAATAATACCTCTTTGCACATATTCTCCAATACTCCATAATCCTCTGCACCTCTATGTCTTCACAGAGGCTCTAGTCTCTGCCTGGAATTACCTCTAACTCCTTTCAGGCTGGGGATCCCCTAACTTTCATTCAAGAACCAGCTCAAATTCGAGCCACCTTCTCCAGGTATTTAGTCATTCCCTCCTCCATACTGTCAGAGCTCCTGATAAATACCTTTATTACAGCAAATATCTTCCACTGTGATTGTTGTGTGAACTCTTCCCTATTAGATTCAACATTAATATAAGGTGTCCTGCTTATTTTGTATCCCAGTATCCAGCACAATACCCAGACCAGAGAAGTCAATACGTATTTTAGGCTTTGTGGGCCATACAGTCTCTGCCGTGACTATTCTACTTTGCTGTTACAGCACAAAAGCAGCCATAGACAATACACAGCTATGTTCCAGTAAAACTTTAGTTACAAAAATAGATGGTAGCAATGGAATACTACGCAATGATAAAGAACAATTATGAATCCATGAAACATCTTATAACATGGAGGAATCTGGAGGGTATTAGGCTGAGTGAAGTTAGTCAGTTGCAAAAGGAGAACTATTGCATAAGACCACTATTACAAGAATTCAAGAAAAGATTTAAACACAGAAGAAAACATTCTTTGTTGGTTACGAGGGTGGGGAGGGAGGGAGGGGGTATTCGCTAATTAGAAAGCAGACAAGAATTATCTTAGGTGAAGGGAAGGACAGCACACGCTACAGGGGAAGTCAGCAAAACTGGACTAAACCAAAGCTAAGAAGTTTCCTGAATACAACCAAACACTTTGAGGGACAGAGTAGCAGGGGCAGGGATCTGGGGACCATGGTTTCAGGGGACATCTAGGTCAACTGGCATAACAAAGTTTTTTAAGAAAATGTTCTGCATCCCACTTTGGTGAGTGGCGTCAGGGGTCGTAAAAGCTAGTGAGTGGCCATCTAAGATGCATCAATTGGTCCCAACCCACCTGGAGTAAAGAAGAATGAAGAACACCACAGACACAAGGGAAGTGTTAGCCCAAGAGACAGAAAGGGCCACATAAACCAGAGACTTCATCAGCCTGAGACCAGAAGAACTAGATGGTGCCTGGCTACCACCAACGACCGCCCTGACAGGGAACACAACAAAGAGTCCCTGATGGAGCAGGAGGAAAGTAGGGTGCAGAACTCAAATTCTAGTAAAAAGACCAGGCCTTGGCAGTGGACAGCCCCATAAAACCAAATGAGACTAACGAGGTACAGGAGTCCAGTGACAAGGGCCAGAAGGCAGAAGGGGACAAGGAAGCTGGTGATAGGGAACCCAAGGTTGAATAAGGATATTGTTGATGTGTTGTGAGATTGTTAACCATTGTCATAGGGCAACATTTCTAGTAACTGTTAAATGAGAAACTATTTTGTTCTGTAAACCTTCATCTTAAGTGAGAATAACAGCACAATTGGAAGAGCGTAGTCAATGTCACTGAACTGTGCATGTAGAAATTTTCAAAACGGTGTATCTTTGTCTATGTGTATTTTCACCAAAAAAAAAAGGTTGAGAAGTTAGAGGGTTAATATGTTGTGGGGTTGTTAACCAATGTCATAAAACAACATGTGTACTACTGTTCCATGAGAAACTATTTGTTCTGTAAGCCTTCACCTGAAGTACAATAAAATTAAAAAAATTAAAAAAAAAAGACCAGGCTTAATGGTTTGATTAAGACTGGAGGGACCCCAGAAGACATAGCCCCCAGACTCTGTGTTAGTCCAAAAGTAAAACCATTCCCGAGGCCAGCTCTTCAGACAAAGATTATACTGGACTATGGGACATAAAATGATACTTGTGAAGTGTGTGCTTCTTAGCTGAAGTAGATACATGAGACTAAATGGGTAGCTCCTGTCCAGAGGCAAGATGAGAAGGCAGAGAGGGTCGGGAACTGGTTGAATGGACACAGGAAATCTGGGGTGGAAAGGAGGAGTGTGCAGTCATGGTACAGGGAGAGCAACTAGGGTCACAAAGCAAGGTATGTATAAATTTTTGTATGAGAGACTAACTTGAATTATAAACTTTCACTTAAAGCACAACAATTAAAAAAAAAAAAAAAAAAGGTGGCAGCTCAGATTTGGCCTGCAGGTCATAGTTTGCTCATCCCAGTTCTAGAAACTCAATAAATGTTCATACAATTAAATTGGAAAAAGAAAAAAGATTAAATTGGCTCTGATAATATTGGAAACCAAAGCCCAATCCTTGTCCTCAAATGATTACCTTATCCCGAAGTTGTCAGTAGTTGCAACCTCTAACGCATTACTTCACAGGCAAATCGACTGTAGTCACTCAATAACTAGTTGTAGAACTGACTGCAGAGGAGTGAAAAGGAAATGTGGCTCTGAGGTAACTGCACGGCTGATCTTTGTGCCAAGCTCCCACCATCACCTAGCTGCAAGGGGCTACAGGTCCCTAGCTAGGTGTCAGCGCCCACACAAATAGACAGCCTTTACTTTTAAGAGGTTAAGAGGGGCAGCCACCTCAGGCTTCCACTCCATACCTCCAACCTTCACCTGGCCTTCATTTCAGCTTCTGATGTTATCAGTATAAAAAGAAAATTACTTGAAGGTAGCAGGCAAATAGAAACAAGCTCCCATGCTAAAGTGAGCCACAATTTTCAGCCTCAGCAGTGAAGACTCCTGATATTCCAGAGTGCAGTTACTCAGCAGTTATGAGACACTACTCTAGCCTAGACCTTTTTACACAAGTAGTAGAATACAAGAAAAAATGGGTGGGGGAAAAAAAATAAGCTGAAAAAAAATAGTGAATTATGAGCTTCTTAAAGGCAGGAATCGTGTCTTATTCACCTTTGCCTAGCCAAAGTATCCAGTATATAGCAGACCAGGAAATGTTTGTTGAATGAATGAATTTATGAAATCAAGGATCTAGATCACCGAGTTTGCCAAAACATACATACATGTTTCAAAATCAGAAAGATCCATCGAGAAGTGCAATGTTGGGCCATTTTCTAGGCGTGAGTAGGAGAAAAGCCTGTCCCAGCAGACTCACCATCTTGAGTGTTTGGACTCAGGATTTGGGTCCGGAGTTCCTCCAAGCTAATTTCCAGACAACTACAGATCTCCTCGGGGCTATAGGGTTCAGGGTGAAGGGCATCCTCTGTGATTAACAACATTTCTTCCAGACTGACCCCTAGTTTGGCTTGTACCTCTTCCAGCCGCAGTACTTCATCCCATTGCAGGCTTTTGTACTTAGCCAGGAGCTGCAAGTTCAAACCAAGATAATGGTCAGTTTTCATTTCAGAAATTGATATGTACTATTTTAATTAGCCAAATTCAACTTTATGCTGTTTTTGGTTGTTGTTGTTTTTTTCCATTCAACCTATCCAAATTTCCCACCATTTCTTGGAAATGTACATTGGGTTCAGATGTTTGGAATTAAACATGCCTATGTGACACTCGCAAACTAGTTTTGTCCTTCCAAAAAAAAAAAAACACTAATCCTCCACCGAATTTTTTTTTTTTTCTTGCCTGTCACCACTCTCCCTCAGGGTTATTTCTCTGAATAATTCCCTTCTTTTATCCCTATTCAGTTCATCCCTACTACACCCTTCTCTATTAAGTCCACAGGAAACTACTTAAATGTCATGTGACCTGGGTCCTGAGGTGCACACTGCATGCCCGATCTCATTAGAGCACTTCCTGTTTACTACATGCCTCTCTGAAAATGGCTAATGAATTTAAGTATCTGGACGTTTGGAGTAAAACCTCAGATTTTAAATGAAAACCTCATTGGTGACCTTATTAAAAAGCATTTCATTAGGTCACTGATAGTGGTAGAACTGTAAGTTTCTCCACCCTCAAGAAGAGTTGAGTTTCCAACTGCATCCTGAGGCACCCCCTCAATCTGGAGAGGGTCAGTACAAACCAAACCTTTGTAACCAGGTGCACTCATGGGAACCCCAATCCGGAATATGTTTCCTTCATTCTCCCCAAACCACTGAGACAGCCCTGCAGAAGAGCTAACAACCAAAACAGTGAAGACTGCTCTCACTCTGAGGCCTGTAACATTCATTCCCTGGGTGTTAGGACAGCAGGTGCAGACAGCACAAACAGCAAAAAGAGGCAAGCAAGAAGACGGGAAATTAGTCTTCAAGGAAACGTGCATCTGATTTACTCTTCTATTATGCTGATGGTTTTTCTTTTCGACAGGAAGCAGAGTTTACTAAAAGACCACTGTACTTTGGTTAGGGCCACTTACTTCTGAAGAACGTTAATACAGTAGATCTTATATTCATTAATCCTCTTTTTAAAATCCTGGTTCATACATATGAAAGAAGTTAATGATTTTAAGGCAGAACTGGGAAAAAAAAAATAAGATTATTTTTTTCTGTTGAATTATTTCACCATAGTGCCGTTTTTAAAATCAGAGCCATGAGCTAAGACCTATTTGCTAACCTTGTTTGTTCAGCATTAAAAAAAAAAAAAGAAAAACTCATTGTCTCGAGTCAATTCCAACTCATAGCAACCCTCTAGGACAGAGTACAGCTGCCCTATAGGGTTTCCAAGGCTGTAAATCTTTACAGAAGCAGACCGCCACATCTTTCTCCCGTGGAGCGGCTGGTGGGTTCAAACCGCTGACCTTTCGGTTAGCAGCTGAGGACTTTAACCACTGCACCACCAGCACACACCAAGAGTTTATTATGGTTGCTGGGTTCATAGGGTTGAGTCAGTCTATACAGCTTTCTTTCAATTCATTCATTCATGGTTCATATTCTAATTTATTTTGTGTGGAAAAAGAGCGAGAGTCAAGGATCTCTTAGACTGAAGCTTTCTCACAACACAGATCCAGAATCGGACTGAGATGAGCCATGAAGCTAACATGTATTAGTGTTGTAGTGCTATATGATTTAAAATGCACTTTTTAATTCTTTTGATCTTCAACAACCCTGTGAAATAGGCATTATTACCTATCACATTTAAGACAGGAGAACAAGTGGCTTGCCCAAAGTCACCTAACTAGTAAGAAACAGAATTGGAAACTGAACCAAGTCCCCCAGAACTATCTTTCTTGCTCTCCAAGGCCACATGCTCAATAAGGTATGGATGCTATCTATGTCATGCTACGCATAGTAGGGCAAATCAGTCTTAAGTCTTAGAAATGGAGGCTAAGATTTGTGCTAGAAGTGAACATTTCAGTGATTTAAAAAAACCTTGTAAATGGACTCCTTGAGGGGTGATGAGGGGGGCAGACAGGAAAAGCATCAAGAGAACTGCCCCAAGGGATGAGAGTGGTTTCTTCCTAAGAACTTTTCACTCAACAATGATCTCCAAGTTCCATCCCCAGTCAGCCTCACTAGCAGAAGTCACACTGCCCCAGGCCCTTGATCCCAGGTAACTGAGACAGTGTCATGGGGTGGAAAGTCTGCAAGGGATGCCTTCAGCCTACAAGGTTCAGTTTTCAAAGGCAGCCTCCCTGTGGACTTTTCTTTTGTAGACAAAGGCATTAACATACTGAAGTTCACATTCACTCCAGCAATATCCCAGTTTGCTGTTAGCCCAATTGTCCACTTAGCTGTTATCTGGAGGGGCCACACAGCTAGTTTGGTATATATTTCAATTAAGGATGAAAATTACCACATGCCCTCAACGACAGCTGCATTGCCCGTGAGCAGCTGAATAGTGCGCTCCATTGAGGGAGTAAAATTGGAAAGCCACTGAAGCCCTTTGAAATTTGGCTCAGGAAATAGAAAGATGACTTGCAGAGGAGGGAAGTGAGAGGTAAAATCACTGTTGCTCAAAGGCAGAACTTTATGAGGGAATTTACTATTTGTGGCCATGGTGGCTGGCCTACTTCACATTTGTGAAGTGGGGTTATGAGTCAGAGTCAGGACTAGGGGTCATTTCATCACAAGCTCCTCACTCAGCAGCAGGATGGGAAAGTAAGAGAAAGCAGTTCTTTGGCAATATTTACCATTTTCTTTTCACCACTGCAAATATTAACTACTCATATCATATACCACCTGTGGGAGGCTCCGTAGCTCTGTTCTATGCTCTATGGGCCAGAGAGCAGGCAACAAGTGCCTTGTCAAGAGTCATGGAAAGAGGCACTGAAAAATGCTGCTAGGCTCCTGTCTTAGGTTGGTTTCTCCCAGAAGCAGGCCTTGGGACAAGAGTTTGAGAGCAAGTAGTTTATTTGGAGGGTGATTCCAAGAGGCACTGATGGAGGAGTAGAAAGTGAAAACAGGAAGAGAAGTAAACCAATACAAGATGCACTGATGTGGGCAAGTGAAGCTGGCCCTGCTGGGGACCTCTGGGAGCTACAGGTACAAACCTCAGATGTGTCCTACCCAAGGGGCAAGAAAGCTGGGACAGTGAATGGGATCCAGAGCACAAGATTGGTGAGGGCTGCTCCCAAGGGTATATAAACTCCCCAGCACCTCCAGGCTGACCCAGATGCAGACTAAGCACTCTCCTGCAGCCACAAAAAGCCCCCAGTGCAAGAGTCATAGAGGCATGCAGTAAGATGGTGTGGTACTAAGAGGGTCAAGATGATATGAGGTGGACAGGAAGGGAACTAACAGCATCTGCTATCCTCCTTAACAGAGGTGTTGGCCTTTCAGAATCCACCCACCTTAGCTTAGACTTCTGCATTGCATTTCATAATATTAACAAATCAATGGAACAAGTGTCAAATCTTCTCCCCACCAGGTCAGCAAAGGATAAAGTTTCTAATCCTTTCTCTGAGATACCTCTAAAAACAAGAATTAATTTAACAAATTGTTTTCCACACAACAAAAGCAGCTGTGTTGTTATTGTTTCTGGTTATATAAATCACACATGCTTACCGTAAAAACCGCAAACAATACATAAAATTTCAAAGCATAAAAACAAAAAATTTAAAAAACCCTCTAAAAATCACCCCGAAGAGATAACCACCATCTGCCATTTTGATAACCATCCTTTCATACATTTCTTTATGCATATCCACATGCATATACTTTGACATAAATGGGATCATGGATAGCTGTTTCTATTGTGGATACTTCTGGGGGTTTTTTACTTCTCTTGTCCTCACCCCCACCAATTAACACTAGAGCCCTTCCCCCGGCCTTCTGCAGTGCTCAGTGACATCAGTGTCAGTGTTTCCCTCACAGCCATCATCAACACATTAACCACGCTGACCTTCCCCACTGTCTGTGTTCTCCATATTAGTTTGCAAGCCACAGAAGAAGCCTGCACAACTTACTACAATCCTCCCTGGACTCTCAGCACAGCCTCTTATTTCTAAGGCAAACCCAAGCATTGTGCTCTGGATTCCATTCACGTCTAACTCCTCATGGGTACAACAGAAAGAGCATGGGCTGTCTAGTAAAACAAAAAACATTTACTTAAAACAAGTCACAATTTACCTAGGCCTGAAATTCCCATTAAGTAAAATGGGGCACTTAAGGGCTACTTCACAAGCTATTGAGAAGATTAAATAACAGTAAAACCCCAGAGGACCTTACCTTGCCCAAAAGAGGCATTGTGTGAAGGTCACTTTACTTCCCTCCCCACATTTCTCTGACTCTCTAGCTTTTTCCCTCATCTGACATCTCTCCTATACCTTCAAATATATACAGATGTTTTCTGTCTTAAAATTCCTTATTCCTAAAGCTACTGCTCTTCACTTCTCCCTCCTTTTCACTGTTCAACAACTAGAATCAGGGGCCCATTCTCACAGCCTCCAGGCCCCCGCTGACCATTGTAACTACTGAATATGGCCTCCCAAAGGCTCTTCCTTATCCCCAAAACCACTTTCAAAGCCATTGGTCTTTTATCAGTCCTCTAGAGCCTTAAGGAATCTGTGGCTACTGACATCTTTGGTACCCATCTTGTTCAAATTCCCTGTTTTATTGGCTTCTGTAGCATTGAATTTTCCTGGTTTCCCTCCCACCTCGCTGGCCTTATTCCACATGACTTTTTTTTTTTTTCCCTCCTTTCATCATTTAATTGAAGCCATGCCCCAAGCTTGACCCCTGGCTTTCTGATCTTCTCTTGCCACATTCTTTCCTTCAGCAACTTGAACTTAGCGCTTGGCTTCAGCTGTTCTCTCAAAACAAACACATCTGAAGGCTATACCCCTAGCCATGAGATAAGCTTCAGGCTCAAATTTCTAACCACCTATGAGAAAAGTCCACAGGAATTTTCTCCACTTTCCATTTTCCAGTCATTCTCCATCCTACTGTGGGGCCCTGGTGGTGCACTGGTTAAGAGCTCA